TTGCTGCGGCTGAGGTCGAAGAGGTTGCTGCCTGTGTTCTCCTTTAGGATTTTGATGGACTCCTGTCTCACATTTAGGTCTTTCAACCATTTTGAGTCTATTTTTGTGTGTGGTGTAAGGAAATGGTCCAGAAGAAAGCTGGGGTGGCAATCCTTATATCAGACAAATTAGATTTTAAACCAAAGATTATAATAAGAGATGAGGAAGGACACTTAATGAGGATTAAAGAGATGAGGAAGAACACTGGTATCTCCAGTGTTGCTCTTCTTGCTCAAAGGGTCTATCCAACAAGAAGATCTAACAATTGTAAATATCTATGCCCCTAACATGGGAGCAGCCAATTATATAAGCCAGTTAATAACAATTATATAAGCCAATTATTATATAAGCCAATTAATAACAATTATATAAGCCAATTAATAACAAAACAAAGAAACACATCAACAACAATACAATAATAGGGGGGAGTGGGGGACTTTAACGCCCCCCTCACTGAAATGGACAGATCATCTAAGTAAAAGATCAACAAGGAAATAAAGACTTTGAATGACACACTGGACCAAGTGGACTTCACAGATATATTCAGAACATTCCATCCCAAAGCAACAGAATATACATTCTTCTCTAGTGCCCATGGAACATTCTCCAGTTGACCATATTTCTGGGCTCTCTAATTCTATTCCGTTGGTCTTTCTTTCCTTCTTTTCTTTTCTTTTTCCTCTTCTTTTCTTTTCTTTTCTTTTCTTTCTCCTTCCTGCCTGCCTGCCTTCCTTCTGCCTTCCTTCCTTCCTTCCCATGCTATTTGATTACTATTGCTTTGTTTGAGATCAGGAAGTGGTATCTCCAGTGTTGCTCTTCTTGCTCAAGCCTGTTTTAGCTATTTGGATCTTTTGTCATTCTATACGAATTTTAAGATTGCCTTTTCAGAGAGAGGGAAAGAGCACAAGGAGGGGGAGTGGCAGGCAGAGAAGCAGGCTCCCCACTGAGCAAGGACCCAGATGTGGGACTCGATCCAGGACCCTGGGATCTGCATGGAGCACTGGGTGTTATACGCAAATAATGAATCATGGAACACTACATCAAAAACTAATGATGTGATGTGTGGTGATTAACATAACATAATAAAAAAAATTGCCTTTTTTATTTATGTGAAAAATGCTATTAGAATTTTGATAAAGATTGCATTGAATTTGTAGATCATTTTGGGTTGTAGGGATATTTCAACAATATTAATTCTTCCTATCCACGAACATGGGGTATTTTTCCATTTATTTGTGTCTTTAATTTTTTTTCATAAATGTTTTATAGTTTTCAGTGCACAGATCTTTTTTACCTCCTTGGTTAAATTTATTCCTATTTTCTTATTTTTGATACTATTACAAATGGGATTGTTTTCTTAATTTTGGGTGGATAGTTTGTTGTTAGTGTATAGAAATACAACTGATTTTTGTATGTCAATTTTTGGATCCTGCAAATTTACTGAATTTTTTTATTGATTCTAACAGTGTTCGTGGAGTCTTTACAGTTTCTATATATACAATCATGTCATCTGTAAACAGAGACAATTTGCTTCTTTCTTTTTTATTTAGATACCTTTTTCTGATTGCTTTGGCTAGGATGTCTGGTACCATGTTGAATAAGAGTGGTAACAGTGGGCACTCTTGTCTTATTCCTAATCTTAGTGGGAATGCTTTTAACCTTTATCATTGAGTATGATGTTAGCATTAGGTTTGTCATATAAGACCTTTATTATTTTGAGCTGTGTTCCTTCTATATCCAGTTTGTGGAGAGTTTTTTTTTTATCATAAAAGGATGTTGAATTTTGTCAAATTCTTTTTCTGAATCTATTGAAATGATCATATTATTTTTATCCTTCGTTTTGTGAATGTGGTGTATCACATTTATTAATTTGTATCACATTTATGTTGAGCCACCCTTGCATCCCAGGAATAATCCTGTTTCATCATGGTTTTAATCAACCTTTTACTGTACTTTTGAATTTGGTTTGCTCTTACTTTGTTGAGGATTTTTGCATCTGCATTCATCAGGGATGTTGAGCTGTAGTTTTCTTGTAGTGTCCTTGTCTGGCTTTGGTATCAGGGTCATGTTAGCCTCTTAAAATCAATTTGTAAGTGTCCCTTTGTAATTTTTTAGAAGAGTTTGAGAATGATTGGCATTAATTCTTTAAATTTTTGTTAGACTTCACCAGTGAAATCATCTGATTCTGGTCATTCCTTTATTGGGAGGTTTCTGATTACTGATTCATCTCCTTACTTGTTATTGGCTTGTTCATATTTTCTATTTCTCCATGATTCAGTTTTGGTAAGTTGTATGTTTCTAGTTATTTATCAGTTTCTTCTAGGTTATCCAATTTGTTGGTGTATAATGGTCATAGTAGTCTCTTATGATTCCTTGTATTTCAGTGGTATTAGTTGTAATGTCTCCTCTTTCATTTCTGATTTTATTAATCTGAGTCTTCTCTTTTTTTCTCTTAGTCTAGCTAAAAATTTGTCAGCTTTATCTTTTAAAAAACCCAGCTCCTATTTTAGTTGATCCTTTCTATTATCTTTCAGGTCTCTATATCATTTATTTCCCTTCTGATTTATATTATTTCCTTCCTTCTACTAATTTTGGGCTTAGTTTTTGTTCTTTTTCTAGTTCCCTTAAAGAGTAAAGTTAGATTGTTTATTTCAGATCTTCCTTTTTTAAAAAAATATTTATTTTTATTTGAGAGAGAGAGAGAGAGAGTGAGCAGGGGAGAGGCAGAGGCAGAGGGAGAGAGAGTCTTAAGCAGACTCCGTGCTGAGCACAGAGCTTGCTGAAGGGCTCAATCTCCCAACCTGAGCAGAAACCAAGAGTCGGACACTTAACTGACTATGCCACCCAGGCACCCCAGATCTTTCTTTTTTCTTAATGTAAGCATATGCACTATAAACTTCCTTCTTAGAACTGCTTTTGCTGCATCCCATAGGTTTGGTATATTGTGTTCCCATTTTCATTTGTCTTAAGATTTTTTTGATTTCCCTTTTTACCTCTTCTTTTTTTTAAAAAAAATAGTAATGAATGTTAAAGAAGTTCAAATATTTTTTTGGCCATTGAGCCTGTAATCATATTTTTTCTCATTTGATTTATAGATAAATTAAATTGTATTCATAGACTTCCTAATATTAAATTATCCATGTATTCTTGGGAGATAGAGAATATAATTACAGTATGTTATTCCTTTAATATATTGCTAGATTCAATGTATTAGTATTTTATTTAGAATGTTTGTATTTATATTTGTAAGAAGATTGCTCTCTTTTTAAGTGCAGTCATTTTTCAAATTTTTTTACAATAATTTGTAAAATTATTTGAGAAGCTGTCTTTCTTCGTAGTTAGAAAATTTTTAAATGTCATAGGAATTATCAGTTCCTTAAGATTTGAAATTTTTTAAAAATGAGATCAGTTGAGCCTGACATTGTTGTGGGAAGAAATTTTTGGATATCTTTCTCAGTTTGTTCTATCATTATCCTGCATTTAAGTTTTCTGCTTCTTGAATTAGCTTGCTGATTTTGTATTTTCATCCCTAAATGGTCAATGATGTGCGTCTTTTTTGTACTTATTGGCTATTTATATGTCTTCTTTGGAGAAATGTCTGTTCAAACCCTTTGTCCCCATTTTTAATGGGGTTATTTGTCTTTATTATTGACTTGTAACAGTTCTTATATATTTTGAATACAAGTGCCTTATCAGATACATGATTTGCAGATATTTTCTCTCGTTCTGTTGGTTGTCTTTTTACTTTCTTGATGATATCATTTGAAATTTTGATGAAGTTCAGTTTATCTACGTGTGTGTGTGTGTTTGCTTCCTTCTGGTGTCATATCTAAGAAACTATTGCCTAACCCAAAGTTATGAAGATTTACTTGTATGTTTCCCTTTAAGAATTTTATAATTTTGTCTCTTATATTTGGCTCTGTAATTCATTTTGAGTTAATATTTGTATGTAGTGTGATGTAGGGGTACAACTTTATTACTTTTGCATGTGGACATCTAATTGTCCTAGTACAATGGAAAGGCTATTTTTTTCTCTATTACCCATTTAATTTTGATCTTTACATGGATTTTTGCTTTGGAGCTCAATTAAAGAGTCTTTGCCTTTTAATTTAATTTAAAAGACAAGTTTAACCCATTTACATGCATTATTATTGCTGATAGACTTTCTTTGGAAGTATTCAGATCTGACTTTTATATTTTTTGTTTTCTGTGTTGTCCTTCAGTGTGTTGTTACCTTTTGAAATGAGGATTGCCTTTCTTTCAGGTTTACAGAATAAGTGTTTTTATTTCTACTTGCTGATAGTAAGAAACCTTCAATAATATTCATTTCATAAATCACATAGTCTTTAACTTGAGAGTCACATTTCAAGTTACATTAAGGGTAGGTGTACAGTTCTTCAGTGTAAATGTAGATGATCGTGCTATGAATTTTTTAAGGACACTGAAATATGATGGTAGATATTCAGAGGGTTTGATAAGAAAGTGAAATGTCTAATGTTGATATATTATAATGATGATGAACATACTAGATACATAAATATGACTCCATTACCTTACTTAATTTATAGCTATTTTTTACTTAGTCTTATTTAGTAGCTATTTTTACTTTTGTAAAATCATTCGATGCTTGAAATATGTGTAACACTGAGGCTCAAAAAGCTACATATAGCATGATAATGTTGTTTAACATTACCAGAATTCTACAAATATAAATGCAGTTCAAATCTTGAAGTGTATTTTTCTATGTTCACACTTTATTATAGGAAGCATATTCTTTAATTAAGAAGACTGAAGCAGAACAAAATACCCTGTATTCATACCAAAAATATGTGGAGAGTTCAAAAAGAAAGAAAAGCAGATTCCCTCCCCCACCTATCCTGCTATCCCGAACTTATTGTTCTGTGACATTGAAACCTGCTCCATTTATTTCAGATGTTAAGGTATGTTCCCCATTATGATCTTTATTTCAGGCAAAGCAACGTTAAGTACTTTTATGACTATCATGATCGATACTTTTCTTGCTCTTAGGACTTGAATAGTCTTATTTATAAGCACTGAACACTGGGATTAGTATTGTAATGTCTTTTTTTTTTTTTTTAAGATTTTATTTATTCATTTGAGAGAGAGAATGAGATAGAGAGAGAGAGCATGAGAGGGGGGAGGGTCAGAGGGAGAAGCAGACTCCCCGCCGAGCAGGGAGCCCG